TTTTTTTTTTAAAAAAAAAAAGAAAGGTTTATATATATATATAATTATATAAGGAATATTTAAATTTTTTTATATATTATATATATATATATTTATTATTATTATTATTATCATAAAAAAAAAAAACTTTGTAAATTTTTTTCTTTTTCCTTTAAAAATTTTATTTTTCATGAATCAGGAACGAGTAAATAATAATAGTTTCGCGTTTGTAATGGAAGATCCTTCAAAACCAAGAAAATATCAACTTAATTTTCAACTAAATGATAATCATCAATTTAAAGAATCACCGCTTATACAACCAACAATGGATCAAAGTTTAGCTTCGCATCATCTTCATAATCCTCAACATCATTCACTTCATCATATTGATCACAATCCTCTACCAAGACAAACTTCGTCGATCACACTTCCTTCTATAAAAGAATTAATGCAAATTCCACCATCTCCTGTACCTCCTCCTCCATCACTACCTCCATCTTTACCTCCTACTCAAAGAATATTACAACAACAACAACAACATCATCACCATCATCATCACCATCATCATCAACAACAGCAGCAACAACAGCAGCAACAACAACAGCAGCAGCAGCAGCAGCAGCAACAACAACAACAACAATTTTTACAGCATCATCATAATATTCATTCTCAACATAAAACAGAATCTTTAATTTCTTCATCGAGGCCTCATCTACCTCCTTTACTTGATACACCTCAACATCCTTCTAATTTTAATTATCCTTTTAATGCTACTTCACGTAATGATAATAGAAACGAAAGGATTGATTCACATTTACAAATATCACAACATTCACAACATTCACAACATTCACAACAACAGCATTCATCTCATTTATTATCACAACATACTCATCAACGTCCCTTAATGTCGTCGTCTTCAACACCAGAAGTTTCTTCATATTATTCATCTCATTCTTACCCATCTCATTCTACAAATACACAATATTCTGTAAATCATAAAATTAATCCTACCCCTCCTCCTTCATCTCAACATCATGTACATTATCAACAACCTCAGTTACCACAATCGCAGCGATCCCCTCCTCATCAAGTACAAGTTTTACCACAACAGATGCAGCCCTCACAACGAATGTTACATCAACAACATCAATCTCATCATCATCACTTACAACATTCGTTACCAATGTCTCACCATCAAACAACTCAATCGCAGCAACAAATACAGCAAGGGTATCATCCTCCTCCTCCTCCTCCTACTCACTCTCTTCCTCCTTCCTCTTCTCATCATCATTCTAATGTATATAATAACGAAGTTATGGCAGTAGTACCTGAAAGAAATCAGCTCGATCATCAATCTTCCGCTACTTCTGTTGCTTCTCGTGCTCCTTATAATTCTCATTATTATTCCTCTCAGGTGTATCCAAATAACCCTCCAATAATTTCCACTCCATCACATGTGACTTCCTCTCATGGTCGTAATGCACCATTAACTGAGTATCAAGCTGTTCGTGATGTTCGTGATGTTCGTGATGTTCGTGATGCTCGTGATGTTCGTGATGTTTCGTTAAGTAATGAACATCATCAACACCATCAACAACAAAATGGTATTTCTGGTCATGTACAGCAATATCCTCAAGTTCAACACCCTCAAGTTCAACACCCTCAAGTTCAACACCCTCAAGTTCAACACCCTCAGGTTCAACACCCTCAGGTTCAACACCCTCAGGTTCAACATCCTCAGGTTCAACATCCTCAGGTTCAACATCATCAGGTTCAACATCCTCAAATTCAACAACAACAACAACAAATGTACATTCAAAATCATCATCATCAGCAGCAGCAGCAGCAACAACAACAACAGCAACAACAGCAGCAACAACAGCAGCAACAACAACAACTACAACCACTACAAGTTTCTCATTTGCAAGTTCCTCCACAAAATATTTCTCGTCCTCTTACGCCACCGCAGTTAAACTTGCCTCCACAGCAACCACAAATTCAAAATCAATTTTTATTGGAGAATCGTGAAACTTCACCATTTCATTTGGCGGCACCTTCGCATCATCATTCAGGAAGTAATTCGTCGGTTTCCACTCGATCATCATCTCCTGCACCTAGCACTCCTGTAGCTTCTAATAATCTTCCATTTTCTCCTAATGGTGGTAGTCATGTTAATAATACGGTTAATAATAATAGTATTGATAAATCTCTTGAACAGAATGTTTCTGTTAAAAAGAAGGGACGTTCTAAACCACCGAGACCTATTGTACCTGCTGGACCTATACCAAATCAACAACCTATATCTAATAATCAACCTTTACCAACAAATACTCCAAATGATCCTCTTGTGTTTGTACAATATTCAAATTCTTCAAATAATAATACTCCGACAAAACCGCCATCATCTAGATCAAGAAAAAATAGTATATCTGGTGTCTCAGCTCCTCTCGTTTCAAAACGCGGTAGAAAAGCTAAAGATTCATCATCAACAGCAGCAGCCACCATGCAAACAAAGGTTGATGATGATGTTTATAATGTTATTCCATTCACTCCAACTACTGTATCGGAGAATAATGAGAAGAATGTTGCACAAAGTCGTAAGAGAGATTATTCTTCTTCAAATGAGAGTCAAAATAACAAAAGGTATAGAAAAGATGAAGATGTACATGTTATTCAAGATGATGATGATACAATGGAAGATGTTATTCATAATGTGAAGGAAGAGGAACCAAAGATGGACGTTGATGATGAAGGAGTCAAATTACTCTTATCATTGAAGGGTGATAATGCAACTACTTTGGTGAATAATGTTTCAGAAAATACGGTTACCGTTGACAAACCTGTGGTAGAAGAACGTGTTCAGGATATCAAAATTAAAGAGGAGCCTTCAATCAACAAAGTTGTTACACCAATTAATGAACCAGTTGTTAAAAATGAAATTGATATAAAGCCGGAACCGGTTGACCAAGTGGTAACAAAAAAAGTCAGAGAAATGTCAATTACGGATGAAGAAAAACAATCTTATGTACAAAAGAAAGCTGCTCTTAAATCACCAAAAAATACAATAAAATCTGAGTTTCCTGAGAAGATTAATAGCATTTCAGTTACTCGTGGTTTTATTAACAAAGATCAAGATAAAAAAGAACGAGTTAAAGTAGCATCAGTTGAATGTGATTCAGATAGCGATTTAGCTATGGATGATGGTTCTGATGATGATATTGATCAAAATAAACAACCCGAACGTAATTTTAATAGTATAGAAGGAAATATGCAATGGAATAGTGATGATATGGAAACTGAAGAAGAAGTTGAAGAAGAAGTAGAAATCTCCTCTCTTAATCGTGATTCTACTATAAGAACTGGTACAAATGGTGCAGCTAAAGATCATATCAATAATAATAGTACTTCAAATGTTATTAATCATCGAAAGAGTAATGAGGATGTTAAAGAAACTAATGTAACCATAAATTCAAATACTTCTGATAAAAAATTATCCCTACCTGCCTCACCTATCTCTGCATGCTTTACAAACACCAATAATGGTATTTTGTCTCGTAAAGCTTCGACTTCGAGTTCTATTTCGCGTAAGGGTTCAACCTCATCAAATGGAAGTAATAAAGAAAAGGACAATGTGATTTGCGGTTCACCTATTGAGGCTATCGCTTCACCTATTTCGTCACCACCTTCAGTTAAAACTGTTTCCATTGATGCTGTAAATTCCACTACTGGTAATACAAATAGCAATAATAGTAATGGTAAACCACAAAGACCTTGCCCACCTAGACGTAGGTCAACAATGAGGGACGATGAAAAGCTCGAATTGAACGCAATTGAATGGGAAAAGAACATCGAAATTCCTCATGATATTTGGGTGGAAACTTTAAGAGTGTTTGAAATTGTTAAACATTCCAAGGAAATGAAAAATCGTCAACCTCATCGCAAACGTAATCATATTCTTGCTTCAATTCTTTTTATATTATGTCGCCAAAATGGTCTACCACGTACTTTTGTTGAAATATGTAATGCTGCTTCAATTAGGAAACAAGAGATTGGAACTTATTATCGTCTCATGCTTAAAGTATTTGAGAGCAATGGCTTGGGTGATGGATCTAATGGAACTGTAGATTCTGCTGAATATTTGGTATATAATCAATTTTTTAATTTTACATTTATCTTTATTCATTGGTTTACTTATTTCATTTATTAATTAACTTTATTTTTGTTTAATAGAAACGATGGTGCCAAAATCTTAAACTTCCACAACATATACTCAATGCAGCTATTCATGTTTATAGACAAGCCAGTGAATTAAATATTACTACCGGAAAATGTCCAGTATCTGTTGGAGCTGCTTCAATATGGTTATCTATACATGCATGGAATGAAACTAGAACTTCAACCTATAGCCACACTGTACATACGGATGATGCAGAGTTGATAAAAGTAGAACATAAAGATGTTGCAACAGCTGCTGGTGTCGTTAATGCTACTCTTGTTGGGTGTTTCAAAAATTTATTAAGATTCAAAGAACAATTATTACCTGAAGGATTTTTGAAGGAAGCCAGAGAAAGATCACCTTATTATTTAAAGTCAAATTCAATAAACTGTGTTAATAATAATAATTCGGAAAGTGATGCATATGGTCGATTGTCTTCGTCAACGGATAACGTTAAATCTTATATTTCTAAAGCTGATAATAGCGATAATGGCAAATCAAAAGGTTAGTTTTAATACATATTTTATTATAAATTATAATGTTTTATCACGATTGGAAAAGTTTGTTAACAAAAATTTTTAAATTTTATAGTTGAAACGGCTACAACTGAAACAACTTCAAAGCCTATAAAAAGTGAGCCAGTATCAAAATTGCCAACGAAGTCACAAGTCAAGGTTGAGAGGAGCGAAACGAATACTCAATCATTGAAATCACCAATTAAAGAAACCGAAACTATAGATAAAGTTCCAGCAATTTCTAAAAAAGAAGTAAAAAATGAAAAAACTTTACCGGTATTAAAATCTCCACCTAGAATGACAAAACCAATACCTGAAATTGAACCTGGTCAAGAAGACGCTGACGATGAACTAGAAGAAGGAGAGTTAAGAGAAGATGATGATGATAATATGGTGGTTGATTAAAAAAAAAAAAAATTTTTTTAATAAACGTTATAACTTATTCAAATTATCCAATTTTTCTTTAATAATTTAGTAATGCAATGATATTTTAGGTAATGTAATTAGATAGATGAGAAAAATTTAGTGTACAAATCTTTTTTTTAAAGAAATAGTATCATCATTTTCAAAAGTAATTTTATTAGTAATCTATTTTTTTATATATATATAATTGTAGTAATTATTTTGGTCCCTTAAAAATGTAATGGAGGTTCAATGATTAAGGAAATAGAAAAATTTCATTAGAATTTTATTAAATGAAATTTATAATTAATTAATTTTCTTGAAATTACTACAAGAATTTATTATAAAATACATTATATATTTTTTCACTTCATTTCACTTCATTTATACATAATATTCATTCAACGTCAAGATATTCCTCCTTTCTATACTTAACACCTTTTTTGTTAAATATATAAATATATATAATAGAGTTTTATATTACAAGATTTTATTGTAGTATAGTTATTTATTTTATTTTATTGTAAATATTTTTTATTATAAAATTTAGGGATCAATTGATTTGATTTCTTTTTCTTTTTAAATATTTTGCGGACAAAAAATATTTACTTTTTGTGGTTTTATTAGTAAATATTTATATGTATATTTTTAGAAATCAAATAAAATTTTTATAAAATTTGTATATAAACATCATGTAACAGATAAGCATTTGCCCCTTTTGACAATCCCTAATCGGTATTTCCATTACCAATCAAAAAGGCTTGTTTTGGTAATCAAATGGTCTTTGTTTTTAACTTTGTAATAAAGGTTAGACTACACGTTGCTTAATTTGTTTGGTTATGTGATATGTCATATGAAACTTAATTCTCGTAATGTCGTAATGCCAGCCGGGACAAGAATAGGATTATCTATCTATCAGAAAATTGCAAAAATATCATTTTAGGTAAAATATCCATTGCAGTAATTTTTTTACATCCTATTAACTTTTACATATTATTATCACTATATTAGATGTTATATACAGTAATGTATTATTAGACAATTGTAATATATGACTTTTCAAAAATTTTACAAAAATAAGCAAATAAAAAATATAATATTAGCAAAAAATATCATTAATTTTATGCAAATCTAATTTCTAACTGTAGATAAAACAGTATATGATTAAGCAAATAATATTGTTATACATATATTACTTGGGATTCTATTTATACTTACTTGTAATATAATGAATATATTTATTTATTTAATCTATAAATCTATAAAAAAATTAGTAAAATTATATTAAAATAAATTACTATTACTTTTTATTAATAAATAAAATCCAAAAGTATATAGTAATTTTATAAAATAAAATTTTCATTTTATAATAAATTATTTTTAATTTAAAAAAAATTAGAAAAAATATATATTTCACTTTCTTTGTATAATATTAAAATTTCGCATTTTGTAATAAAAAAAGAAATTCTTAATATATAAACTTTTTAAAAATTATTTATATGTATTTTCTCTTTATTTTGCAAATTTATTTAAAGCATTAAAAGATAGTTTTAAATATTATTTTTATTTATTTGACAAATTTTTTTTTTCGGAAATTTTTCATTAAATCATATAATATATTTATATTCTTTTTTAAAATAAAAGTAAGATTTAAATATTATATATAAAGGATAAGATCTAAATTTATCCAAAAAATAATATTAAATTTTTTTTTTTTTATATTTCAAGTTTATTAATTTTAACACTTGGATCTATATAATATAAGTGAACTACATCACAAAATAAACAGAAGATAGGTCAACTATTCCCGCAGTACAATGAAAATGCATTAATAAATCTGGTGCAAATACACCTAAGAACCAAAAGAAATAAGATGTAGGAAAAACAAAAACAAAAAAAAATCCCATATACAAAAACAAAAATAAAAAACAAAATGAAAAAATAAGGAAACAGTCAGTAACGAAGCCATTCTACTACATCTACACTTCTAAATCTAACCATTCTTTCAAACTTAAATTATAACGCTCCCAGTTTTTTAAACATCGATATTATTTCTGTTAGTACTGTAAGCTTGTCAATATCACCCAAAGCCTTATTAATCTTTTTGATTTTCTTGGCCATCTTTTGCTTCTTACTCAACTGAATATTAGTATTAGTTACTATTTGAACCTTGAAGTCATCTTCTTGATTCACCTTCTGAAAGCTAAAGCTTGCATAAACTGAGTTAGCTTACAAGCTGACTCGAGCTTTTCAATTTGAGCCAAGCTGAACTATAATTAAATTGGCTCAATGGCTCATGAACTAACTTGAAAAAAGTTTAAGCCAGTAATAGACTCGATTTAAAAAACTCAATAATAAGCTCAGCTCAAAAAGCTCAAATTGGCTTGAATTATCATACAAAAACGTTATGAATCATTTTTTGTATAATAGTATATTTTAAAAAACGGTTTGCAACATTTTTTTTAATGATTTAATAAAAAATATTGCGAAAATATTTTTTTCATAATAATATATTTAAAAAAAAATGTTTTACAATGTTTTTTTTTTGATATTTTAATAAAATATTGTGAAAACATTCTTTGTATAATATTATATTAAAAAAAAACCATTTTTAACATTTTTTAATTATTTAATAAAAAAATGTTGCGAAAACATTTTTTTCAAAATATTATATTAAAAAAATATTTTTGTAACATTTTTTTTTAATTGTTTAATAAAAAAATATTACAAAAACGTTTTTTTTTGTAATATTATATTAAAAAAACGGTTTGCAACATTTTTTTAATGCTTTAATATGTTGCAAAATATTTTTTTGAAGATAAAGCTCACTTGACTTAAGCCAGCGCACAAAAAATTTTTGAAAAAATACCAGAAATTTTCCAAAAAAAATCTAAAAATCCCAGAAATTCATTTTTTTGCATCAGAACATATAACTGGAATCAATAAAAAAAATTTTTTTATTTAATTGGCAATTTAGCATAAATTTATCAATATTATAAAGTCTCAAATATTTTCATTATGTCTTTATTACAATATGGATTTAAGCATTAAAGAATTAATAATAGCTTGACTCAAGAAAATAAGAATTAATATTTTAACGTTTTTATTATATATTAATAAAATTCTGACATTCATAAAATTTACCAAAAATTTGCTGTGCCATATCCAAAGTTTAAAAATTTTTTACAGATTTATCAAAAAGTTTTCAGAAAATCTGGCAAAATTTAAATAAATTTTGTGCGCTGGCTCGAGCTATGATTTTTATAGTTCAGCTCAATTCATTTTAGCTTGAGCCAAAATTTTTATGGTTTAACTTATTTTAGTTTAAGTCAGAATTTTTTTTTGAGCTAAGTCAAGTGGCTCATATAAAACTTTACTGAAGATGTTTTCTTCTTTACTTCAAATTAGAAGTAAAATACCTTATCTAATCACCAGTAAATCTAAATGGTTTACTAATGACCTTTTCCAAGTCAGCCTATAAATCGTAGTAGATTATTAACTTGTGGATGCTCTGATCTTAAATTAATTTAAATGCTTTACACCTTAAAAGTGTAAGAATAGATTGAGCAAGGTTATTCAGATATAAAGTAGTTGTAATAATAGAGACAGAAACTCCTTTAAGTACAACCTGGAATCATTCTCGTTCTTTCCTTTATTTGAGATTTCAGTTGGCTAGAAACTATCGTATGGATAAACTTCTAAGCAGAGCAATCTATACTCCATCCAGCGCAGAAAATCCATTATAATTTAACCGGTTTTTCCAGTAAATTTCTGATAAACCCGGTAAAATCTTATAATTCCGGAATTGTTCCAGTCGTGATGTAGCAGATTTCTGGAATATTTTGTAAATACCAGAAATTTCATTTAATAAATTTATATCGCAAAAAAGTTTTTTATCTTTAATTTTATTATTTATTATTTAAGTAGTTTATTACAATATGATTATTTAAAGCCAGTACGTCTTTTCTGGTTACTTCATATTGTATATGCACGAATAAAAAAAAGTTAAAAGATTATTATACAGTATATTTGGTAATACCATCTAAAACTGGAACTTTTTTTTAATTCCATACCGGTTAAAAAAATAAATTTCCAGAATTTTTATATTTAACCAGAATTTTTCTGAAATTTTTCCAAGGTTTTTTTCTGCGCTGACTCCATCATTTCAAAGTTTTGTAACCACTTGATTGAGTTCAATTGACACTATAATAGTAATATATTTCTGTTGAGATTTAAATTTAATTGCAACTACTTGATCCCAGGCTTTTAAGTAATTAAGCATATCAAATTACAGGTGGAGGAGATATCATGAATCATAATTTTGCAGACAAAGTCCTTATTTGTGAGTGTATATCCAGTTATTATGGATTTATGGTACTAATTATTTTAAGTGAAAGTATAGCAGATTGTTTCTTGATAGTCTTAAAACTTTTGCTGGAACCAGCATTGAAAACAGGTGCAGTTTTTTTTTTTTTCTGTAAAAGGTAAAGGCAAATTAGATCTGCTAACATTACTACTTTTCAAATTCTGTTTAACTATATTGACATATGAAACTCACTTTTGTTTATTTTTAGACATAAAAGGAGTGGCTGTTGTTGAGAGGATACTAATTGGTTCTTCTTATTATGCTGCAACTTTTGATTGGTATTTGAGCATATTAGGCATATTAATAATTTCTATATCTATCAGTTGATCTTTTACAGATTTGAATGTGTTTAGAATTTGTTGTGATAACGTTATTAAACTTTTTACAAGCGGTTTCCATTCCTTTAATTACGCTTATTTGGATAAAGTTAAAAGACTCATAAAAAAGAAAAAGTGATTTAAAGACTGTAAATCACTGATACTAAAAGTTTAAAGAACCTCCTGATATTTTATAAGTAAATTAGTAACTACTAGTTCACTATCGCCAATATTTCTTTCAATAGTTTGAGAAATATCATCTTCAGTTAAACTAAAAAAAGAATTTTTTTAAAAACATGGCTGACTAGTTCAAAGTAAAAGGCTCTATCCACTATTATTTCTTTATTGTCGCCCTTAGAATAGGCTGTTAAAATGATTTGTTTCAACAAGAAAGCCATTATTTCAGAAAATTTTCCTTCAAATTTCCTATGAGAAAAAATGGTCTATACGATTAGTGGAAAGAATTCTCTTATTAAAATTAAATTTAAGCAATTAAATAAAATAAATTAATTATTATAATACTTACTTAAATTATACTCTGAATTGTAATAGTTAATCTCAAATTCATTAATATTACTTGCTACACATTTAAAAGACAGGTCAATTTGAAAATATTTACACTTTTTCTATTCAAACAATTGCTTAGAACACAGGTCGAAAAGTGAAAAATCAGGCACCAATCGGTCACCAATCAGGTAGCTGATTGGTGACTGATTGGTGACTGATTGGTACCTGATTGGCATTTTTGCCAAATACCGTCACCAATCAGGCAGTTTGCTAACTTTTG